AGAAATGCATCAAGCTTATTGTGTGATAGAAAAGTCCCGCTCAAACTTAAAGGAAAATTCTATAAGATGGTGGTGAGACCTTCAATGCTTTATGGTGCAGAATGTTAGCCGTTAAAATAGAAGCATAATATTAAGTTAGGTGTTGCAGAGATGAGGATGCTCGGGTGGATGAGTGGCTCAACTCGTAGAGGCATGATACGAAATGAGCCTATAGCTCCAGTGGAAGATAAGATTAGATAGTCTCCTTATAGATGGTTTCGTCACATTAAACGGCGGTCTTTTGATTATCCAGTTAGGAAAGCAAATGTATTGGATTAGGCTTATGCTAAGAAAGGTAGAGGTTGATCTAAAAAGACTTGGTTATAAAATATTAGAAATGATCGTTCTTTATTAGATTTAAATGTTAATTTAAACTTTAACAGGATACATGGAGAAAAAAAATTTGTGTAGCAGATCCCAAGTAGTGGATGATGTTGTTGTTGTTGTGCACATTGCCATGTGAAAGAGGCTTGAGATGATCTGCCTAAAATATGTGGATTCTATTTCTCATATGATCATTTTTTCTCATCCAAATAAGTTTGTATTGACGAGGATCAAGGATGGCCCAATAGGGCAACCTGTGCTTCCAACCGGTTTGCAATCAGTTTCTTCTCTCTCTCTCTCTCTCATTATTATTATTATTCCTCACCACAGTTTTTTGATTGGAAATTTATTATGATTGCGAAGATTGAACTCAATATATTGGCAACAGCTTTGAAGGCCCTTAACCTCCCCAGAGTTCTTAGGGTGGGAATTATTATGGCTGGTGGGATGGAACTCGAGCTCTTGTCGGGGAAACCATAGAGGTTCAGGAATCCCAAGAGTTCTATTAGAACAGATCCGTTACTTTGCTCTTATAATTTCCAAAGGTTATCTTTGCCTGCCATTCTACCATCTTCTATGCATTTTTGGTGTGGATCTGATTCTAGGTTCCTCATTTCTCGGTTTTTTTATGGTTGCGGCATTTAATGACGTGATTTTAGTTTCTTACTCCGATTTCCTCTGATTTTGATCAATTTTTTATCATTTTTCTTTTGATCAATTTTTTAATGACATGATTCTATTTCTCTTTTGATCATTTTTTTTCATCCAAATAAGTTTGTGTTGACAAGGCATCAAGGATGGCCTTAAGAGGCAACCTGTGCTTCCAACTGGTATTCGATCAAATTCTCCCTCTCTTTCTATTATTTTTAATTCTTTTTTCTCACCTCACAGTTTTTAGGATGGGAGTTAATTATGATTGCAACAGCATCAATGGTCCTTGCCTACCCCAAGGTTCTTAGGGTGGAGTTATTATGGTTCATGGGATTGAACTCAACCTCTTATCAGGGAACCATAGAGGTTCAGCCATCCCAAGCATTCTATTGGAACAGATCGGTTGAAAGAAAGTGTTTCTTTGCTCTTATAATTTCCAACATCAAAGATCGAGGGTAAATTGGGAGTGGTTTGAGTGGACAGCCGATGTGAATCCCTTGATTGTGGACCGTTTTTGTTCATTTGAATGTCTTAATGATATCGGAATTTGGTGATCTTGGGTTTGTTGGATTCGTCTCGTCGAGCTGCTCGATTTGACTATTAAGCATGTCACATTGAAAAGTTTGATAATCCAATTATGGTTTGAACCTTCCAAATGTGCTTTGGGTCTTTGATTTGGACCCATGTGAGCTCAGATTGGGTTGAATTTGTTGTTGTTGGGTTTGTATTTTTGAGACGTTTAGTTCGACTATAAGTTTGCTGAAATTGGAGTTCAGATGGTCCCGGATTTAATTTTTGAAGTTTCCAACTTGATTTTGCCTCAAGATTCGTGCCCGATCAAGATAATTTTATGATGATAGATCAATTATTATTATTATTATTATTTTCTCGCCCTGAAGTTCTTAGGGTGGTAGTTTTTATGATTTTTGGGGCTCGAATTCAAGATAATAGCTTCAAATACCCACCCCACAGTGCTTAGGGTGGGAGTTATTATGGTTTGTTGGATCAAACTCGAGCTCTTGTTAACAGTTCCAAAGGACTTAAGCTTTTTATATACAGGAAGAATCATGTGTCTGATAAATTCATTCGAGGACCTTTTCTATTGAATTTTATGTGGCAAGGTGATAATTTCCTTGTCAAGAATCCCCCAGTCTTTGTTTGTAAAAGAATATAAAAAGAGATATTGCATTAAAGTCTAAGGACTAGTTGACATGCTGATAGTATTTTCTTCCCTAAGAAATTCTCCTGTTAGGAGTGCCCGACCGTAGTAAAGCCATCTGGAACTAGTGCTTTGCACGGAATGTGCTTTTGCGCTGCTGTATAGTACTTTTTTTAGTTAGAGGGCAATGATGATGGTTTAGAGGTTCGCCATCTTCTGCACATTACACCTATGGAAGTAGTGAAACTTTTTACAAATCACTTGTTTGAGTTCTCTAGTAATATATCCAAGGGGCTGTTTGGTATGAAATTTATGCTCGGATTTACGTTGGATTTATCGTAAATTTTGCAAAACGGTTTTTGGGCGCTCCTTAGATCCCAATCATTGGTAAATCCCGGATTTACGGATTTACGGCGTAATACGATGTCCGTAAATATGGAATTTAGTTAATCCCTTGGTTTAGCGAATTTAATGGGATTTACTATCGCAAGAACTCTCCCGCGGCACCCGAGTGGTGTAGCTTCGAACGCCCGCCCTCATACTGCTTCGTCTCAGCCTCTTGACCGCCACGCCAGTGTTTTCCTCTGCGATTTTTCTTCCTCCATAGTCACTGCGAGCAGGTTTTTAATTGAGTAATGATATAATTAATAGTATAAAATTTCTTAAAACAACACTTAAAAATTCATTAAATAAATTATTAGTGTAAGTAGTAGTTAAATAATTAATTATTTGTGTAATTAGTATTCAACTTGGATTTATTATGTTGTATGCGCTTATCTTGAATTTATAACTATCTTATTGATGCAATTAAACGCTGCTTCTTCACATTTAAATCTCTAACTGCTATAAATCTTGAAATATGTTAACAAACAATTTCTTAGGATTTTACCAGATTCAATATTTGTCATACTAAATAGTTTCAGGATTTTATAGATTTAATATTTGTCATACCAAACAGTTTTTAGGATTTAACACTCTCAGGATTAACTAAATCCGGATTTATAGGTTTTACTAAATTTCACTAAAGTTAAATCCTACTTGTTGCCAAACAGCCCCTAAGGAAACTTCTTGCTTCAACTTGTGATGTTGGGGCTGTTGGCATTTTTTAGGCATTAAAGCTTGCTGCTTATATTTTGGAGAATGTAACATTTCTATTTCATATCCGAATATACCAATGGCCTGGCTTAATCAAGCTCAATTTTCTTTGAGGCGAGGAAGGTTAAATTTGCACTTATTAAAGGCCAAGATGCATTTGTCAACGCTCAAAGAATTGCTTGGCAAAGGTCATGGCACACTCTCCAGGAATTACTTTAAGGATTCTAGCAACTCCCTGAGGACTCTTTCAAGTTTGCATAAACATGTCAACTTCATAGCGAACTAAGTAAACTCATGATCCCATTCATCGCTCGTCACTTATCACTCACAACTTGGTAGGGTCACTTGTCACTCGGTGGGCCCACTCATCATATGTCACTTGGCATGCTCACATGTCACTCGGCGTGTAAACTCAAACACTCGTTACTTGGCATTTAGGCTTCGTTTGGGATGGCTTTCTTCTTGCTTCTTAAAGTGGCTTTCTAATACAAAAATTAAAATGTTTGTACTAAAAAGCTGTTTTAAGAAGCAGTAACTTGTCACTTAGTGCGCCTATTTGTTCATCACTATGTGGGTTTGCTTGTAATTCTTCACTCAGCTGGGCCACTCGTCACTTTCACTTTGTGGGCCTATTTGTCCATCACTCAGTGGGTTTGCTCGTCATTCTTCACTCAGCAGGACCACACGTCACTATTTACTTTACAAGCAAACTTATAAGTAAAAATGTTGAAAGTTTTTTTTTTATAAATATCCTTACAATCAAAATTTGTTCTGAGGTCGATTCCTATCGACCCCTATTTGTTCATTGTTGTACGCTTTGCAGGTATGTCGGGGGCCCCCCTGATGAGGTTTGACTGGCAGCAAGCGTTGTAAGGATATTTTTGGATTCTCTTTACTATTTCTCTTTGTACTTGGTTCATCGTTCCCTAACAGTAACATCTCTACACAATTTGTTTAATTATGTTGGGGCAATTGTCTAAAGATCATAATATTTTAAAACTTTTAAGTGAGGCAATTGCCTAAAAAATCATTGTAATAAAGACTAAAAAATACATGGAGGGGGACAAATTACCTAAAGAATCATATAATAAATAATTTTTTTATTTTTTCAAGGGGGGCAATTGAGCCCCCTGGCCTTAAGGTGGTTCTTACCATTTAGGGTGGGTTTCAGCTCCTCTTTCTCTATTCAAGATGCTGCATTTCTTTTTGAGGTTTGTGCCTCGGGAGATTGGTGAGAAGGCTTGCTTCTCTTTCTCTTCTGATTGATTTCAACATGTGGAATATGTTTATTTTACTTTTCCTGTTCAAAAAAGTGATAACTGCATGTTGAACTTTGTCTCATCATTTTTGTAGTACTATATGATCTGGATGCATTTACTTATCAGATTCTTGCTGATGATCACCTTATTGCTGCGATGATTTTCCTGGTCAAAGATATCTTTCACGCAACATATACAACTATACATGTAAGGACTTATGAGCTGACAAACAATCTTTTCTCCTCGGTTGATATTTTACCTTCTTAATAAGGAGCTTATTTCTTGACAGGTAACTTCTGCAGGAGACCGTTAGTCTTTGAAGAGGAAAAATGATTAGGTGCGCATGTGGAGAACAAAAAACAAGTAATAGGTGACTAATATACTATTTCTATCATCCGTCATGTTTTCTGTAATATAGGTGACTTGGCCTGATCCGAATATTCCAAGGGATTTTTTTTTGTTTATTTTAAAAGTTTGTGCTCTCGGGACGGGCTCGGACTAGGATGCGGGATGGTGGGGTGGATGCGGAAGCGGGCTCAGACGCGGAATCAAGGACAGATGCGGAACGAGCTGGCTCGGATGCAGAATTGAGCCGCTCAACAAGCTCAAGCTCGTTTGAGTTCGAACTCGGAATTTGGCTCTTGAGTCGAGCTCGAGTTAGGCCTGACTCTCCTATAACGCATCAATTACCATTTATTATTTATAAAGGTAACAAGTGCATAATTGTGTATAGATATTTAATAAATATTATTAATTTAAGCCGGATCAATCTGAATTTATTTTTATAAATTTAAACAAAAATATTAATTAAATTTAACAGCTGCATAATTCTTTATATATATATAATAAAAATGTATATGTATATCCATCAAAGTAAGCTTTTGGGAAATTTGACTTCGTATGCCTCAATTGTAATAATCAGCTAAATATTTTTGTATTCATGGCTGCTTATCGAAATCTTTTTTGAACAAAATTATTCAATGTAGATAACATTTAAACCTTCATACTGTAGTGTACTGAAGTATGTTTCATTTCTAAATGTTGATGTGGCATTTCAGGATGGCATAGAGATTCTTAGGGGATAACTATCTCCTTATGTCTTTATGAGGCATAAGATGGTAGATATTAGATGCCCTTGTTCTCTTGCAAATGTATATAATACATGTCAAGTAATTTCATTTGATCGATTCGGAAATTAAATTTATATTCTTTTGAACTTTAATATCAGCAAATTTATAATCAAACTGAGCGTTTTGATGTGTAAAATTCAATGCCATTAAAAGTTATCTGATTGGAGTCCAAATGAGCTCAAATTAAACAGTTTAAGTGAAGTTGAAAAATTCATAGCATTGATTGAGGGATCAAATGATCTTCAAATTTTGTATGCTTATAATTAAATCAAGTGGTTCTATGTGATGAATCCAACAAGCCTTAGATCTGTAGGTACTTAGAACGATCTTTTGAACTACATGGAGAACAAACTGGAGTAGTTATTGTGTCCGGATACCGAATGCGTTTAGAGACCAATAACAATGCACCACGTCACCTGGAGCTCGGTACTGAGCACTCGGTATAGCTCGGTATATTTCCGGTTTTTTGTCCGGACGTAATAACTTTTCGAACAAACTGTGTATAGTGATTAGTATGCTTATAACCAATGGCCCTGGTACCATTACCAAGGGGATACATGCATAGCGATTAGTGAAAAGCTTTTCTATATATCTTGTTTATGGATTCGACTTTTTCCCTGAGCCCCTCTTGTTCTTGCTTTCTTATTCTTCTTCTTTTCCTTTTTGAATGTACTCCTTAAATATATCCTTATCCTTTTTAATGCAGGTGCAGCTGTAGATTTGTGGCGGGAAAAGGCATGTCTCTCTGCTTAGTTGTGCTGAGCTCCCAATTAGTGGGTATAAATTTCTATATTTACTTACCAACATTCGCTGTTGTGGATCTTACCATAGAAAATCAAGAAATAAAGAAAATATTTTTCTTTTTCAAATCAATAAGCTTCACGTTTTATATTTTATATGTTTTAATTGTCTACTCTGTTATAAATCCTTGAGATGAAGTGTTTGGATCTAATACTTCAAAGCTACTTTTGTATGTTAGCATGAAATAATGATTATATTGTCCAACTTTTATGGCTCCTGGTAGAGAAATTATTTTATGCGGACACCGGATCATTCGGAGACCAATCAGGAAAAAGGTGATGTGACGTGTTCTGATTTGTCTCTAGTTGTCGGACGGTGTCAATAATTTTTCCTTCTGTGCTGAAGCAGCTGTTATACAACTCAAAAAAAGGAGATTTATAATGTTTTTTAAATTTCATGAGGGGTAGATGTTTTTTCTTTTAATCATTGAATGGTTTAAGAAAAGGGTTGTCTTCTTTCCTCTTTTATTTTTTATTTTTATGTATTCTCTTCTTTAAAAGGTGAAGAAATTTTAAATATCTGTTGTAGCTCTATCCATTTCTTTTTAAAAAATTGCCTCTTTTGCCTTATTTATGAGTCCATAGGTTAATTTGAAAAAATACAAGGTTTGCTTCTCAAATCTTATTGTTTCTCTTGAGGATCTTTATGCCATTTTGTGTATTAAATTGGGAAGCTTCTCATATCTTTTATGGCTCCTGCTGAAGCCGCTTGCTTGTGAAGACCTAACTTCCTTTGTTCAAAAAACTTCCCACTTGGCTTATGGTGGGAAGAATAAATCTCTTTTAGATTCTCGATTAACCACACGAGATCTGCATACATATTCCCATATGTTTTCTTAAAATGATATTCTCTGGTCAAGGTTCCCTTTCTTTATTTTTATTAATAAGGGCTCCTTTAGGAAAGGAGTTCATATCATATATTGGTCCCAAAACACCCAAGGTGATAGTAAAAATTATTATTTGCAAATGCTGAATGTTTCTTGATGATCAATCAGAATGTGTCATGTCACTTTTTCGTTTGGTACTGTGGTTTGGTACTACTTGATATTGCGGCTCGATATTGTTGATGTGGTGTATTTTGATTGGTCTCTAGAGAGCGTTCTACGTTCTGCCTCTGTACAAAATAATTTCTCAGGTAATAGAGTCAAGCGTATGTACTTGATTAAACACTCACCATTTTGTTGGAGAAGCCCTGATTAAAAATTACTTATACTCAAGATTAGAAGAATTGTTGTGTTTGTAAACTCCGTAATGCTTCTCTCGAGATTTACTCTTTTTTTTGTGCTCCTTTATGTGCTTGAGGAATTTGTTACAATTTGTAAAAAAAAAATTCTTTATTCAACCCACTTTATAGCATCTTCTTCAAATCTCAAATAGTTTCCGTCATAAAGCGGGTAAATTTATAAAAGGGAGATTTATATACATATCACTCTATACAATTCTATTTATAGATTTAACACCTAAAATTTTAATATTACATACATACCATTCATAGTTTACTTTTATATCAAATATGAGTGGTATAAATGAAATATATGAGTGGAAGGAAATATGAGTGGCATATTTGATATTAAAATATTATAGGATAGTATGTATGTAATATTAAAGTTTTAGATGTTAGAAATATAAATAGGATATTGTAAAGTGGTATGTATGTAAATTTCCCTTTATAAAAATGAGTATGAATTTAGAAGGGAGCAAACTTATTTGGCAGGATAGGATTCTAATGAATATGCCATTTTAATTGGCGCATTAAATAAAATGCACCAATTTAATTAGAACATTTTATTGAATGCGCTAGATTATTAATTTATTTCAATTATACCCACTATATGCTAATATGCTAATACGAATAGCATATTTGGTGTATTCTAAGAATAAGTAAAATGGTTTGGTATTTTGTAGAAAACTCTTAAAACATTTAGTGTATTATCGGAATATATCAAATCATTTGATATTTTTGCTCTTTTTAATTTTTTTATTTAAATCTAAACCTTATTTAGCTACTCTTTTTTAAACTTAAAGAATAAAGGCTACAGGATGTTAAAATTGGCCAAATTCTTGTAGTCCGGCTACGGACTGTAGGATGTTAAATCTAATATAGAAAGATCGTTTTAATATTTTATTAATCAAGACTTCTTAGGTCAATCTCTACTCTTTTAGCATAAATCAAATCTAATATATCTAATTAGGTTATCGGAAGGCAGCCGTTTTATGTGACCAAACTTTTTAAGATGACTCCCTCTAATCTCTTCCATTGGAGCTACTCCAACTTTTTCTTGTGTATGCTCATTTCATATCCTTTTTTAAGAATAGAGCAACTCATCCACCTGAGCATTCTTATTTCTGCAACGCTTTACTTAATATTATGCATCTCTTTTTTTTTTTCTTTTTTAAATAATTTAATAAAATTTTATGCATCTCTTTTAATGGCCAACATTCTACACCATAAAGGGTTACAAGTCACAATTTCTCTACTAAATCTATTATTACCAAAATTACAATCCATATATTTGATTTTACATCTACGCAAACGGAAATATTTAGACTCTAAAGTTGACTTCTATAATTTAAATTTACCTTCAACTCCCTCTATAGTCCTATCCATAGGAAGAATATCATCATAAAAAAAAAAATATACATTATGGTACAACCTCTCGCAAATGTTTACTGAGAACATCCATTACTAAAGCAAAAAGATATGGACTTATGACTGACTTATTCTTGATGTTATGGGTGGATCCCTCTTAAGCCCAGGGAAAAAATTGCTCCCCCTAAAATTTTTTTATTTATTATTATATAATTTTTTTAGGTAATTTGTCCGTCTCTATTTATTTTTTAGTCTTTATTATAAGAGTTTTTTGTCAATTGCTCCCCTAAAAGTTTTAAAATATTATGGTCTTTAGACAATTGCGCCTTAGCATGATTAAACACATTATGTAGATGTGTTATTGTTAAAAAACGATGAACCAAATACATAAAGGAATAGTAAAGGGAATTCATCATTTTGTTTATTAATAAGGTCGGACCTCGCTAGGGGGCGTTGTGAACCGTACGACGATCAAATATATGAACAAATAGGAGTCGAGCTAAATTCAAGGCAACTTCAACATACATTTTCTAGCAATTGAATGATTAATCTTTTTTTGCGACCTTTTTTTTTGTCTCTATTGTTTGGTCGTTATTGATTCATTTTTTCTAGCAAAAGGTCGAGCCAAATTTTGAGGCAACACCAATAATTACTTATAAGTTTGCCTCCCCTGAAAATTAAGGTTGGAATTTCAAGGTAACTTCAACATACATTTTATAGCAATTGAATGATTAATCTTTTTTTGCGACCTTTTTTTTTTTGTCTCTATTGTTTGGTCGTTATTGACTCAATTTTTTTAGCAAAAGGTCGAGCCAAATTTTGAGGCAACACAGATAATTACTTATAAGTTTGCCCCCCTGAAAATTAAGGTTGGAATCACTCCTGCTTGATGTAACCCAATTGAAATAGTAAAATACTTGGTCAAATTACCTTTTGTTTGACAAATATTGCATATATTTTCTTAATGACTTAAAAATATGCTTAATTTGCCTTTTTTTTTTCTAGAACTCGCTCTCGCCATAGCACTTCTCTTAGAACAAAAACCGTTTTATATGTTAAATTTTAATTTTTTTAACTTAATTAAATCTTTGTAATGCGCTAACTAAAATTTTGCCCCAAAAATTTATTCTCGAAATCTTCTTATTCTACGCGCGAATTTACCATTAAAACAAGTTATATTAAAAATTTAATACTGAGGACGCCAAACTTTTATTCAATATTTTTATGGTTCATAAATGCAGCAGCCGCGTTCCACTAACCTCCTCAGTAAATTACCGCTTCCGGACGTCAAAGGTGGCAACCGAACAATAGGTCGGTGATGTTAAATTGGTAAGTCAACCGCAAACTTTACTGTGGTTGGGTGTTAACTCGCTGCTAGGGCCAACTTAAATGGTGTTAATAGCGGTGGGTCCCATGATTGTCTAGCTAGCTGCTGTTCGATTCGGTTCAGTTCGGTTCGGTTCGATGCTAAAAGTCTTAAAAAATCGGCTTTGCCCGGCTCACCTCAGCTTAGGCTAATCAATGCGGATCGCCGGTTCACGATTAATTAAATCCGGCTTAAACCGCCCCTGTTTCTGCCCTCCAGCTATTTCTGCGGGCAGCGATCGTCGCTACCGGTGTGCTCGGCTAGCTGCCCGAACCGCCCTTACTGCCCGAGTTAAACCTATCTTTCTTCTCCTCCCTTAACTCTGCAGAGCAAAAGCAAAATTCCAATAGATTGTCGATTCACAAGAATCGCAGGGCATAGCTTATGAGATGCATCGCCAAGGTTTTTAGCTTCGGTTTGATCTTTAGTTTTCTTCGTCGGATCTTCTCTCAGGCTACTTCTCCGCCGATCGATCTCAACATTTCCGCCAAGAAATATTTTTTATGCTTATCATGAATTACTAGCGGAATGGAGACAGTCGCAGTAGTTTCAGTGAATCTCCCATCGTTTTCCTCATTTTTTTAGAAATTATTTTCGTCAAAATTTTGCTTCGCTGCCTTTTCCATTAAAAAAAAACAAATTTTTTTTCATGGGTTAGTTAAATATTTCCCAAAAAATCCTGGCCGTCCATAATGTCGTCATCATTACACGGCCCCGGCCATGGTCCAATGCAAGTGGTGGTAATAAGCTTACGCCTTTGCTCGCGCTTTGTACCTCCGTTTAGCTATCGTGCGCCGTGGAACTCAAAGCGTAAATTGTTTTCAGTTTGGTCCGGGTTGAGATCCGCCGCAGTTTCTCGTCCTATAAATGGCTAAAAGCTATTAATTATATTTTATTTTATTACACAACTCTCCTTGGCCTATTGGTTGAGAGCTTAGGCTTTCAACTAAGAAGTTCAGGGTTCGAGTCTATGTGTATGCGTTGTGTGTGTGAGTTTGCCTTAAAATGGCCTAAATGTCCCAAAAAAAAAAAAAAATTTATTTTATTGATTAATTGCGGTTTTGGAATCTTTGGTTAGAAGGGAATATCCGGTTTATGTTGTAAGAGTCAAATTTAGCCCATCGACGCTTCGACCGGTTT